AAAAAAAAAAAAAAAAAAAAAAAAAAAAAAAAAAAAAAAAAAAACCCTATCTCTTCGTTTCCCTCCAAAGGTTTGGCAAAAGGTGATTGGTCCACGCATTAGGGGATATTATTATTTTGAATAGACCTCTAACTTTCAACCAGGAATTCAAATTTGAAGTACGGTGTTTTACTCTTTCCAATTACTTGATCAAACCGCGATCAACGGCCAGATTTTAAGATCAAGTTTCTCCTCTTTTTTTTCTCCCTAAACTTCCGGACGCCTTTAATTTATTAAATTCACTATTTCTTTTTCTAATTTTTTAAATCGTCAATCAATTGACTTTCTCCAAAAACATGGAAACTCTCAACAAAAGTAATTTAAAATGCTTCAATAGGAAGGTTTTTTTTCTACAAAATAAATTAAACAAAAATACAAAAGTAATCACAATGCTCACTGTTACAAGTAATCTAATTATTTGTTTCTTTTTGTTTTTTGAATTCAACATTAGAGAAGAGATCGAACGTCAAATGTGTATATATGTTTGTTTGTTCTAAAAAGAAAATTATTCAAATTAAATTCCAAGGAAACTAAGCGCCTATGGTGAAGAAAACAAGTGATCTGTTCTATTCATAGCTTCAAAGTGATGCACAAATTACAGGAATGAAAATCTACGAGTATTTATTTTTATTTGATAAACAAAAACAGTTCCTCTTCATCTTCATCTTCATCTTCATTCAAGCACTAAAAACCAAGGCCAACTGATAAGATTTCCATCCAATAATACAACATACATCCACTGTATATATAAACACGGATTTCCTTTTTCAAAAAGTTAGATCAACGGAAACATACCTTTTATGAAATCAAATCAACCGCAACGCGCTCCACTGCAGAGGAGCGATCGCGTACGCCATTTCTATATACATAAGGTATCTATATGGACCAGCTCTCACGGAACGAGGACTGGAACTGCACGAGAACAAGCAGCAGCACGATCAACGCAGCGACGCCCCACGGCGAACTTCCCTCGGCAGGGAGGTGGTGCGTTCTGCGGCGGCGGTCCCACGGCGAGGAAGAAAAGAAGCTAGGATCGACGGAGGAGAGGAATCGAGCGAGGATGATGAGGAGTACTGGCGTGGCGAAGAGAATCCAGTTGATCTGATCCTCAGCGGCCTCGACGGCGGACTCGTAGGAGAGCCACCAGGAGGCGCCGAGGAAGATGAAGACGACGGCGAGGAGGAGGAGGACAGGATACGGCAGAGGATTGAGGGAGAGAGAATCGAGAATTGAATCTGCGGTGGTTCTGCTTCTGTAATTGCTCATTGATTTGGGGATTTCTTTGTTGACAGTCTGAGAATTGGAGATGGAGAGTAAAGGGAGCTTAGTCCAGTGAATTTATAGCGGAAGGAATACTACAGGTACGGTTCAGTGTGGGGAAATGTATGGGGAGCCATGTGGTGGTCGGTGATTGAGTCAATCTTGACCGTTGATCTACTTTTTTCGTAACCCGTTGATTTTTTTTTTTTATTCTAAAATTTAACGACACATCTGCACGATACAATGCATCAGTTTAATTAAGGGTTTATATTTTTTTAATCTAGTTTAGGTTCCTTAATAGCAATTTATTTAATTTATTTTTTGTTTTTTAAAAAATAATTCAAATTTCCAATATTTAAAATATATTTTTAGATTTGAAAAAAAAATAAATAAATACACGAGACATACTCTAATTTTATGATATTGTTCACTTTGTAGCTTTGCTTTTGGTTTTTCTAAAAGGTATCGTATTATTAATGAATTATAAACCTATGATCATTCTCTAAATTAGGACTTTCATCCCCTCTAATAATATTTTTAAAATTTTTTTGGGAATTTATTAAAATATTTGAAAATCTTTATAAATATTTTTATTAATTACATACGACCAATTTATGAGTCATTGAGACCGAACAAATGGTCCTACCTCTTTAGAGATTTCGAGACTTTATGAGTCATTGAGACCCTACATCATTAGAGTTCATTGAGCTTGTTTTAGGTTAACTTTCGAAAATGTTTGGTGAACACCATAAGAATTTATCAAATTTGTTTCGAATGAACCCTCAAACGTGCAAGAAAAATCCAAATGGGTTCCATGGAGCGACATGGGTTCATAAAACTTATCAAAAAAAAAATATGGAAACTCAGAGAAATTTTAAAGTAGGAGAAAGCAATGGAGAGAGATTTCTCATTATTAGCTAAACGAGGTCCAAAGTGGAGATTATATCTCGTACCCGCCCCACCTAACTTTTTGTAATATAAATTCAAATACATACACATCAACTCAGAACGATTCCAACTAAAATAAATAAAATGAAGATTAAAATAGCAGGCAAAAATGGGGATGATAAAGGTTTCATGGATCGGTCCCGTGTGAACATCTCTAGTCTAAGGCGAAAAGATATAATTAAGAAATTAGTTATATTTGGGAAGTGTTAAATGATAGATGAACAATTTGTTAGAGGTGAGTTCATTAAACAGCTGATAACGAGGGGTCGTATAATCATAATGGGTTGTTTCAATCATCACCATAAACGCGTCTTCAACCTTCCACAAATTTCATCTCTTTCTCAACTCAAACAGAAATTTCTGAAACCGTAAACAAATTAAGGGAAGAAAAGGTTGGAAAAGAGTAGCCATAATCAAATCACTGCCCACCTTGGATCTTTCAAACCGTACACGTGCCCTAACAAACCCCTATTTTCCTCTGCCCCTTCAAAACCGACTCCCTCCATTCTTGTTGATCTTCACACACCCGTTTCCATCGCCCCCTTTTCACCTTTTTTCTCGTGTTTCTCCCCGCCATTGTTGATGGGTCGCTCTTGTTTTGCTTCTTCCTGAATACCCACTTCCTGTTTTTTGCAAACTTTTCCAGTTCTAACTCGTTTTTGTGTTTGCAGCCTTGCATGGAGCTTGCGTTTTCCATGAGAGTCTGAGAAATTCGCTGGTGAGTTCTTGTGTTTCTTGATGTAATGTAGCTGTTGTTGTTTTGATGGGGATTGTTCTTAATCTGTTTGCATTTGGGGTTTATGATTTTGATGCTCTGTTTTTAATCAAATCTCTGTTCTCTTGCGATTGATGAAACGATGAATGGGAAATTTGCAGAGAGTTTAGGTTGTGTAGAAATGTCGATTTCTTCGTCGAATCCGACCCGGAATGGGAGTGTTAAAAACAACGATATGTTACACAATGTTAATGAGATTGAAGAAAGTGAGTTTTCCAAGCTATTGTTTTGATGGGGATTGTTCTTAAATCTGTTTGCATTTGGGGTTTATGATTTTAATCCAATCTCCGTTACCTTGAGAAATCATTCTCTTGCGGTTGATGAAACGATGAATGTGAAATTTGCAGAGAGTTTAGGTTGTCTAGAAATGTCGATTTCTTCGTCGAATCCGACCCAGAATGGGAGTGTTAAAAACAACGATACGTTACACAATAATAGTCAGATTGAAGAAAGTGAGTTTTCCAAGCTATTGGATAGGCCAAGGCCATTGAACATGGAGAGACAGAGATCATTTGATGAAAGATCGCTTGCGGACTTGGCGATTGGTTTCTCCCCACGCTTATCTTCGAGAGTTTCTTCGGAGAACTTTACTCGATTGATAGACAATTATGATCAAACTCCATCTCCTGGTAGAAGATCGGATTTCAATACTCCAAGATCCCAGATTGGATTCGAGCAGCATCCTATGGTGGCCGAAGCTTGGGATGCTTTGAGGCGTTCGTTGGTCCATTTTCGTGGCCAACCAGTTGGTACTATTGCTGCTTTGGACAGTACTGAAGAAAATCTTAATTATGATCAAGTAAGAACACTGCATCAATAATTACTTGCATTCAATGTTCAATCCCTGTTTGGTTGTGTTTAATCTTGCTTGTTAATCATTTGGATGGGTTTAAAATGTTTCGTTCTCGTACCCGTGAAGCATGGATACTTCAATTTGGACAACATGTTTGTATCTGATACTCTGAAATTTGTCGGACATGCGCTGAACAGTTGTAAACACAATAAATACGTCTCGAATACCTCGGAACATGTCTAGAGTGAAACATGTCTAAATGCTTAAGCATTATTGACTTGGAATTTCCTTTTGCATTAAGATTTTTAATCATTTACAAAATTAACGATTCCGCTTGGATCAATCTTGAATTTTTGAGATAAAGCATTGTATCGTATATGCATAAACATCATAAACTATAACAAAATTTTAGAGCAAAACTGGTTCTAATGTATACAAGTGATATGTATTATAGTAAATGTGTATTTATTGTGTTCATGTATTAAAAACCTTTTGAAATGGTCTATATCTTGTCATGTTTGTGTCTTGAATCTGTCTCGGTGCTACTAGTTGATTAATTGTTCGTACTAGAACTTATATTGATCTGAATTGAGAGCCCGACACACACATAACTTCTTTGTTCACATAGGTGTTCGTGAGAGACTTTGTCCCAAGCGCATTTGCTTTTCTAATGAATGGGGAGCCTGAGATTGTAAAAAACTTCATTTTAAAGACGCTACGGCTTCAGTCGTGGGAGAAAAAGATCGACAGGTTCCAGCTTGGAGAAGGGGTGATGCCTGCTAGTTTCAAAGTACTTCATGATCCAGTGAGGAATTCTGAAACTTTAATTGCAGATTTTGGAGAGAGTGCAATAGGAAGAGTTGCTCCAGTTGACTCCGGATTCTGGTGGATTATATTGCTACGAGCATACACAAAGTCCACTGGTGACTCTTCCTTGGCTGAACTACCAGAATGTCAAAAGGGAATGCGCCTTATTTTGAGTCTCTGTCTTTCCGAAGGGTTCGACACGTTCCCTACTCTTCTCTGTGCCGATGGATGCTGCATGATTGATAGACGAATGGTGCGTTTCTTTCAACCTTGCCCTTTAAACACATAATGATGAAACTAACAATTGAAGCTGGAGTTCTGGAATTCACTAGGGAGACAGTTTGAGATATTGGATTCTGTGAATGGAATGATCACATGTTGTTAAAATTATGGTTTAAATCCATCTTGGTTTTCAATTTTCAGATCTGTTTCAAAATAAGATTTAAACCGAAAATTATCTAGGCCGACTTTGTTATGTGTGAGATCCCCACATCAGTACGAAACATTTCTTATAAGGGTGTGGAAATCTCTCCCTAGTAGACGCGTTTTAAAACCGTGAGGTTGATGGTGATACGTAACGGGTCACAACGGACAATATCTACTAGTGGTGGACTTAGGCTGTTACAAATGGTATCAAAGCCAGACACTGGACAGTGTGCCAACTAGGACGTTGGGCTCCCAAGAGGGGTGGATTATGAGATTTCACATTGGTTGGAGAGGGGAATGAAGTATTCCTTATAAGGGTGTGGAAACCTCTCCCTAGCAGACGCGTTTTAAAATCGTGAGGCTGATGGTGATACGTAACGAGCCACAGTGGACAATATCTACTAGTGGTGGACTTGGGCTGTTACAAATGGTATCAGAGCCAGACACCAGGCAGTGTGCCAACTAGGACATTGGGCTCCCAAGAAGGGTGGATTATGAGATTCCACCTCGGTTGGAGAGGGGAATGAAACATTCCTTATAAGGGTGTGGAAACCTCTTCTTAGCAAACGCGTTTTAAAACCTTGAGTGGAAAACCCAAAAGGAAAAGCCCAAAAAGGACAATATCTGATAGCGGTGTTACATTATGATGTACCTTTTCTTTTTCCTTCTTTGTGGGAGACGAAAGGCTTCATCAAAGACAACCCTATGAGTCTTTATCTACCATGAGTATCTTGCTTTATTGTGTCCTAATAGGTCGCATAATAAAATGAGCTATATGCACTTGTGCATTCTCGAGTCGAAAACATGATTATTATTCATTCATCTCTTATGTCTTATTGCTTTTATTATTGGTTTCAGGGTGTATATGGCTACCCAATTGAAATTCAAGCTCTTTTCTTTATGGCTTTAAGGTGTGCTTTGCTTTTGCTAAAGCACGACCACGAGGGGAAGGACTTTATCGAAAGAATAACAAAACGACTTCTTGCTTTGAGCTATCACATGAGAACTTACTTTTGGCTAGACCTAAAGCAACTAAACGATATATATCGATATAAAACTGAAGAATACTCTCACACTGCTTTGAACAAGTTCAACGTAATACCCGATTCTCTTCCCGAATGGATTTTCGACTTCATGCCAATTCATGGCGGTTACTTTATTGGAAATGTCAGCCCTGCAAGAATGGACTTCCGCTGGTTTTGCTTGGGCAACTGCATTGCAATTCTTTCTGCCTTGGCAACTCCAGAACAGTCCACTGCTATTATGGACCTTATTGAATCACGGTGGGAAGAACTGGTCGGAGAAATGCCGCTAAAGGTTTGTTACCCTGCCATTGAAAGCCATGAGTGGCGGATTATAACCGGGTGTGATCCAAAAAATACGAGATGGAGTTACCACAATGGTGGTTCTTGGCCAGGTATGCACCTCTACTTTTCTTAAGAGATCGTGGGATCAAATCCGAAACCTTGTATTTGTGGTGTGGTAAAAAGAAAACGTGGTTCTTGACGAGGTAGTTGACACGTTTGTTAGTTCCCATTGTTTCTGTTTTCGACTTGAGAGCATGTACTTGCGCATTTGTTTAGGAGACTATTACCTTATGACAAGTAGATTTTTCTTAGGAGAGGTGGACGAAGCATTCCTTGTAAGGGTGTGGAAACCTCTCCTTAATAAACGCGTTTTAAAACCGTGAGGCTGATGATGAGACATAACGGGCCAAAGCGGACAATTTCCGCTAGTGGTGTGCTTGGGCTGTTACAAATGGTATCAGAGCCAGACACTGGATGGTGTGCCAGCAAAGATACTGGTCCTCTAAAGGGAGTGGATTGTGAGATCTCACATCGGTTGAAGAGGGAACGAAGCATTTCTTACAAGGGTGTGGAAACCTCTCCCTATCATATGCGTTTTAAAACCGTGAGGCTGACGGCGATACGTATGGGACCAAAGCGGACAATATCTATTAGCGGTGGGCGGTGGGCTTGGACTGTTACAAATTGAATCCCTCCGAATTTTGAAGTTGCACTAGAACAGACATTGATTGATGACATTGCTGCAATTCTTGCAGTTCTCCTATGGCTTCTAACAGCTGCATGTATCAAAACCGGGCGACCCCAGATTGCAAGACGTGCAATCGAACTAGCTGAAACCAGGCTACTGAAGGACAGCTGGCCTGAATATTACGACGGGAAACTCGGCCGATACATCGGGAAACAGGCAAGGAAGTTTCAGACGTGGTCGATTGCAGGTTATTTAGTAGCGAAGATGATGCTGGAAGACCCGTCGCATGCAGGCATGGTGTCTCTGGAGGAAGACAGGCAGATGAAGCCATTAATGAAAAGGTCACATTCATGGACTTGTTAGCGCTTCTCACTGAAGCTTGTTGGTTCTAACTCTCTTCTTAGCTCTATTAGTGCTTTTTATAAGTAAAACTTTTGGGAGACCCCCTTGCTTTTAGGAGAAACATGTTATATTCTACCGTTGGTCGTTTCTGAGAAACTTATTATAATATACTCTTTGAAACATTATATTTTGACCTTTTTTAGGAATCAAACTTAGTCCTCTTCAAGGCATAATGTTGAGAATGCCCGTTAAATTGGAAGGAATAAGCAGCGTAAAACTTGACGATCTTTTCTATCTAATAAATGGGAGTTCGCTTTGAAATCGTTTGCCCTGCACCTCCCGAGTGGGTCAGGATTTTGAACTCAATAACTAAATTGAATGAGTTTTTTTCCTTCTTAAATTTCATGTAACTTTTCGAGATCTACATGTTGAAAGGTAGTTTCACTATTTCTAGATGCTTATAGTTTAGATAAGGCCGTCCTTGGAGATAAGAAAATTAGGCTATTAAAAGCAATCTGCCCAAAACTAGTCGAGCCTAATGCTAGGCTAGGTGATTCCTCTCTATCAACGACCGAATCTTAATCTAGAGAAAAAACTCACTAAACCACCACTCAACTAACGAGTGCGTTGAAACAATAAAAGCTTATCTCGAACTCTTGTCACCCAGATAATAGGTCATTCAGATAATAGGTCACTGGTGCTAAAACTATGGTATATGTCTCATTGAGAGGTAGAAGAAAAATGACTTATAATGAGCGGATGAACATTCCAAGTTACAAGTTTTGTGGGAGCAAAGCAAAAGGGTGAGAGGGGCAAGGAAGAAACAAGAAAGAGATTGAAGAAACCAAACAAATCCCAATTTCCTGCCTCTTTCTGGGATTGCTAAAACAAAATCAGAGCAACACAACACACAAACAACCGATTCCATTAACCCTTTCTGAAAGCAATGTATAGCAGAAATCGAAATTTCATACTGATAATCGAGGCCAGAAATATGCTCCTCACACGGAAAGATTCCTCGCCAGAATCCCTTCAAACGAAATCCCAGGTCCAAACGCCAGAATCAATCCCCATTCCTCAATTTCCCCACCACCCATCTTCGTCTTCAAGCTCTCATCCACCATGTATTCCAACACATACACGATTGTGTTACTGCTCGCATTTCCATAGTCCATCAGAGCTTGCCGGCTCGCCTTCAGCTTCTCAGGTAACAGTTCCGAGTCTCTTCTCTAGCTTATTCAGTATCGCTGGCTCACCTGGATGTCTGCCCAAAAAATTTTGTTGTATTCTTTCTCGTGCAGCCCAACTGTTTGAAGAAATGTCTCACAGAAACTTTCGATGTTATCTTTTCGATTATCTGAGGAAGTTCTCTTGCTATTGTGAAGCTAATACCCTCCTCTGACATTCTCCCATCGATTACGTTCTGGGTGTTTGGAATGAATTTCTGGGTTGCGGTGTGCAGCTCAAAGAGTGGCCGTTCAATGGGCCAAAACAGGGTCCGCGCCAATTAGCATTGCCCCAGCACCATCCCCAAATAGCGCCACGCCTACCAGATCGTATGGACGACGGGCACTTGATGGCTTGTAGCTGTAAAGAAATCGATGTTTATGTTTAAATTCTGAGAACAAATGGTGTATGAGCTTTTGGGGGCGTTGAAAAGTTACCCAATAATGGTGGTTTCAGAGGTGACAAGCAGAACTCGGCTTCCGGGGTTGTTTTCAGCCAAGTCTTTGACGACTCTAAGGCCTGCCACGCCTCCAGAGCAACCCATGAAGTAAAGCATGAACCGTTGGGTGTGAGGGCTGAGTCCAAGGCCTCTTGCTAGGAAGAGATCACCACCAGGCAGGCGAGCTTCACTTGAAGAGACATAGACTAAATGGGTAATGTGTGAAAGTGGCCTTCCCCAGTTCTTAATAGCAGCTTGTGAGGCTTCAATGGCCATGTCTGTCACAGCTTTGTTGCAGATCTCCAGTCTTTGCTTTATGGTTGCTTGGCCTTCCATTGCCATCTCTGGGTGCTTCTTCAGGATCTCTTCTGACATCACCACGTATCTAGTTTTGACTGATGTTGTCTTGCCTGTGGATTGCCATTAGAAGATGACAGTTATTTCAGTTAAAGAGGAGCAATTTTAACAACCACTAGCATCTATCAGCTTCAACTAAATGTCAATCTCAGGTATGTAAACCAAAACTCAGATGAAATCATCTTAGAAGTGAAATTATAAAATTCTGAAATCATCTTAGAAGTTCTATCCGATCAATGAAATATGAAATTTTATTTTGGATTTAGAATCTCTGCACCACCCCTGCCCCCGCCCCCGCCTGAGTAAAGAAAAGGTATAAAATTACAGAGTCGAGTGAGCTTCCGCTTGAGGTCTAAATCATCGCAGCTCGTATCCTTGAAATAGCTATCAACCAGGTAGTCTTGAAGGACAAGTTGGGGAGGGAAGGCCTTCCCAAGAGCCAGAATTGTTGCTCTGCCAGGGTTAGCCTTTCCCTTGGTAGCTCCTAGTGCTCCATTTCCCTTTCCCATCTCTGAAACTTGGGAACCAAATGATTCTTTCCAGTTTGCAAGGGCAACAAAGCTATATAGCTGCACTACCTGTTCATCACCTAGAAAGTTTAAATGCTCAAACGCTACAATGGAAGGCATGTGACTTGAAAATCAGTATAGATTTTAGTTAAGAAGCGGGGCATTCATTTAAGCTGTGTGTACTAGTAAGATAGAGATTTGGTTAAAGCACATTTTCTGTCCAGTTGACTCGACACGTCCATCGCATTCCCAAATAACCAGTGCACGAGAGCATGTATTAGTTTGCTCGGGATAGCCGATAGACATTTAGGATACAATAAAATAGAGAGTTCATAATATAATCTTCAAAAGTTCATCTGCTTAGGGTATTATTGACTCTTCTACATCACATATTGCCGGTTCAATATCTTGTATCGTATGGGAAAAAATCGTAGCTAGCAATCATCAAAGTTCATGAATGCACTTTCCACTGATGAAATTTACAACTTGTGTAACTGCTTGATCCAGTGCTGCAGAAACTGTGGCCAAATTCTGCAAGAATTCTTCTGCAGTCGGTTTTTCGCCATCGACGATATCAGTAACAGCTTTTACAAATATTGCAGGAACTTTGAAGATATCTGCTACATAGGCAATTGCTGCTCCCTGAAATTCAAACTTCAAAGAGTTAAGAGGCAATCTCCAGGTTGCTGCATCAACGGTTCAGCTTTTACCTCCATATCTTTAACCGTGGCATCGTTAGCTAGAATCGATGCTTCATCCTGTGCAGATATGTCTAGCGAGTCACCGGTTGATAATTTTCCAACCTGAGGGAAGAAACGATACAAAAACAAATGTTTCAAGCTGGTGGCATGTTTCTTGTAGCATATTTTCAACTAATGATTCAAGGAGTTGGGGGTTCATCGTGGACGCGAAAGCTATTCAAAATGGTAACTTGTAGTACGTTTCGAGGAAAATCGAAGCTCTTACATCTCATTGAAAGTCTGTAAGTAACTTTGTGTACTTTAAAACATCATAGTACCAAAACAAACTGATGTTGTAGATGATCAAACAATTCTTTTAAAGGAAATTCACCTTTAGATCAAGCTCCTTAAGGAGATTGGGTGTCGACATTGCTTGCTTCGATCCGACTCCATATAAATCGAAAACCTGTAATGTAATGACAATATTCTTTGAGGCAGAGTTAAGGAGCAGGAAAATTAAAGCTGTTAAATTTCAACCCACAAGCAAATTCTCCTTACTATATCATACTATCACACATCACAGAACAAAGTGCTCAACTTTTACGCACAAACGTGCGAGACTACGATGTAAACTGATGATCGACCTGTTAAGTTCGGAAGTAATTGTAAGCTGAAGAGGACATTGTGCCTCTTCAACTCTAGAAAGTAATACTTACTGGAATAGGTATACGTCTGTCATGGAAAGCACACTCGGATACCAGAAAGACATCGCCAATAATCGCTCCTTTTGCCTGGTAGCGAGCAATCAAACCATCGGTCAAACACAAACACGAAATATCTTTAACCCTCCACAATTTCTAGTAGGTTAAACTAGAAAATAAAATTCCTGAATTTTAGGAAGATTTGATCGGTAACTGTTGGATAAAGGAACACAACCACGACTTATGAATTTGACAAACATATGTAGGGAGAGGGATGGGACATTGCTAAATTGACACTGTGTGAGATCCCACATCGGTTGGGGAGGAGAACGAAACATTCTTTATAAGGGTGTGGAAACCTCTCCCTAGTAGACAGGTTATAAAAACCTTGAGGGAAGTCCGAAGGAAAAGCCCAAAGAGGACAATATCGGTTAGCAGTGGGTTTGAGCCGTCATTTATCAGAGACAGACAGCGGACGATGTGCCAGCAAGGAGGCTGAGCCCCAAAGGGGGTGGGCACGAGGCGATGTGCTAGCAAGGACATTGGGTCCCAAAAGGGGGTGGATTGGGGGGTCCCACATCGATTGGAGAATAGAACAAGTGTCAGCGAGGACGCTGGGCCATGAATAGGGGTGGATTCTGAGATCCCACATCGGTTGGGGAAGAAAACGAAACATTTTTTATAAAGGTGTAGAAATCTCTCCCTAGCAGACGCGTTTTAAAAACCTTGAAGGAAGCTCGAAAGGGAAAGCCCAAAAAGGACAATATCTGCTAGCGGTAGGCTTGAGCAAGTCTAAAGAAAAGCAAATGGACAATGAACTACCCAAAAAAGAGATTGACAGGTTAATAAAGGAAACTACTGATTCGATGCTCTCTTTAAACTTTGAATCAAGGTCAGAAGAACAAATCTGTGTGGCAAAACGACAACATGTGCATGATGAACAAGCAAAGGTTTTAACAATGAAACCAAAAAATAGCTTGCTAGCTAAGTCATACATACACATACCTTAAAACCACCAGCAGTGCCTGCATTGATAATCAGGTCTGGTTGCAATGCTTGGACAGAAGCATAGGTTACGAGCGAAGCCGAAATTGTGCCCACGCTATCAAC